GGAGAGTGAGTAGGCCAAAGCCTGTTAAGAGTCAGTGGGCCAAAGCTATTGTCATCTGAGGAGAGTGAGTAGACCGAAGCCTGTTAGTGGGCCAGAACTAGTGTCGCCCTGAGGAGAGTGAGTAGGCCGAAGCCTGTTAGAGTCAGTGGGCCAAAGCTAGTGTCGTCCTGAGGAGAGTGAGTAGGCCAAAGCCTGTTAAGAGTCAGTGGGCCAAAGCTAGTGTCATCCTGAGGAGAGTGAGTAGGCCGAAGCCTGTTAGAGGCAGTGGGCCAGAACTAGCGTCGCCCTGAGGAGAGTGAGTAGGCCGAAGCCTGTTAGTGTCAGTGGGCCAGGGCTAGTGTCATCCTGAGAAGAGTGAGTAGGCCAAAACCTGTTAAGAGTCAGTGGGCCAGAACTAGTTTCACCCTGAGGAGAATGAGTAGGCCAAAGCCTGTTAGTGTTATTGGGCCAAAGCTATTGTTGCTCTGAGGAGAGTGAGTAGGCCGAAGCCTGTTAGGGTTAGTGGGCCAAATCTAGTGTCACCCTGAGGGGTGAGTAGGCCGAAGCCTGTTCATGGGCCAGAGCTAGTGTCACCCTGAGGAGAGTGAGTAGGCCGAAGCCTGTTAGTGGGCCAGAACTAGTGTCACCCTGAGGAGAATGAGTAGGCCGAAGCCTGTTCATGGGCCAGAGCTAGTGTCACCCTGAGGAGAGTGAGTAGGCCGAAGCCTGTTAATGGGCCAGAGCTAGTGTCACCCTGAGGAGAATGAGTAGGCCGAAGCCTGTTCAGGGGCCAGAGCAAGTGTCACCCTGAGGAGAGTGAGTAGGCCGAAGCCTGTTAGTGGGCCAGAACTAGTGTCACCCTGAGGAGAATGAGTAGGCCGAAGCCTGTTCATGGGCCAGAGCTAGTGTCACCCTGAGGAGAGTGAGTAGGCTGAAGCCTGTTAATGGGCCAGAGCTAGTGTCACCCTGAGGAGAATGAGTAGGCCGAAGCCTGTTCATGGGCCAGAGCAAGTGTCACCCTGAGGAGAGTGAGTAGGCCGAAGCCTGTTAGTGGGCCAGAACTAGTGTCACCCTGAGGAGAATGAGTAGGCCGAAGCCTGTTCATGGGCCAGAGCTAGTGTCACCCTGAGGAGAGTGAGTAGGCCGAAGCCTGTTAGTGGGCCAGAACTAGTGTCACCCTGAGGAGAATGAGTAGGCCGAAGCCTGTTCATGGGCCAGAGCTAGTGTCACCCTGAGGAGAGTGAGTAGGCTGAAGCCTGTTAATGGGCCAGAGCTAGTGTCACCCTGAGGAGAGTGAGTAGGCCGAAGCCTGTTCATGGGCCAGAGCTAGTGTCACCCTGAGGAGAGTGAGTAGGCCGAAGCCTGTTAATGGGCCAGAGCTAGTGTCACCCTGAGGAGAGTGAGTAGGCCGAAGCCTGTTCATGGGCCAGAGCTAGTGTCACCCTGAGGAGAATGAGTAGGCCGAAGCCTGTTCATGGGCCAGAGCTAGTGTCACCCTGAGGAGAGTGAGTAGGCCGAAGCCTGTTAGGGCCAGAGCTAGTGTCACCCTGAGGAGAGTGAGTAGGCCGAAGCCTGTTAATGGGCCAGAGCTAGTGTCACCCTGAGGAGAGTGAGTAGGCCGAAGCCTGTTAATGGGCCAGAGCTAGTGTCACCCTGAGGAGAGTGAGTAGGCCGAAGCCTGTTCATGGGCCAGAGCTAGTGTCACCCTGAGGAGAGTGAGTAGGCTGAAGCCTGTTAATGGGCCAGAGCTAGTGTCACCCTGAGGAGAGTGAGTAGGCCGAAGCCTGTTAGTGGGCCAGAACTAGTGTCACCCTGAGGAGAATGAGTAGGCCGAAGCCTGTTCATGGGCCAGAGCTAGTGTCACCCTGAGGAGCGTGAGTAGGGAAGCCTGTTCATGGGCCAGAGCTAGTGTCACCCTGAGGAGAGTGAGTAGGCCAAAGCTGTTAGTCAGCTACTGTCACCTGAGGAGAGTGAGTAGGCCGAAGCCTGTTCATGGGCCAGAGCTAGTGTCACCCTGAGGAGAGTGAGTAGGCCGAAGCCTGTTAGTGGGCCAAAGCTATCGTCGTCTGAGGAGAATGAGTAGGCCGAAGCCTGGTAGTTAGTGGGCCAGAACTAGTGTCAGCCTGTGGAGAGTGGGTAGGCCGAAGCCTGTTAGTGTTAGCGGGCCAAAGCTGGCGTCGCCCTGAGGAGAGTGAGTAGGCCGAAGCCTGTTAGTGGGCCAGAGCCAGTGTCCTCTTCCTCCATCCTCTGTCTACTTCCATTGCTGCACATTGAATTCAAACGACTCTCTTGCCTTCAATGGTTGTTCCCAGGTAAACATTGTTTTTGGGCTTCAACGCCCTACCTTTATTCAAATGCCAAAGCAGAGTTGTTTTTCGGGTTAAAGATATACCAGAGCATTGTCCCATGACGGGATGGAAAAAAGGAGGAAAGAAAGCGAGAAAGAAAGAGGGAAAGAAAAATAAGACAATTTAATAGGGTTTGCGGTTAATGTGGTGGCCGGGATCCAAGGGTGGGGACGACGGGTGAGGAAGTTGGCAGCGCCTGGGCAAAGAGGCAGGTATGCATGGCCGGGCCTTTTTCAATTCAGGAATATATACATATACATAGATACATTTGACCAACAAAGCCCATGCTGGGTGAAGAATGCTGGGTTTGCTAGTCCTTAAAGTTGTCTCAAAGTTTCTAGGCCAAATCTTGAATATTACAAATTATTATTATCATTATTATTATTATTATTATTATTATTATTATTATATTATTATTATTATTATTATTATATTATTATTATTTACCTGTTGCCTGGCATGCATTTCTGGCTTCTATCTATCTATCTGTCTAATTATTATTATTATTATTATTATTATTATTATTATTATTATTAGAGAACAGCAGGCTATAAATATATTGCTAATAATATGAGAGGTAAAATAGGATAAAAATAAATATAATAATAAATATGAGAGAAAGAAAGCAGGAAATATATATATGTGTGTGTGTATGTGTATAAAGATATAAGTCATAATAATAATGGTAAATATACCTACTTCTTTATCTACCTACCTATCTATCTATTTATCTTTCTACCTACCTAAAAGGTAAAGGTTGTCCCCTGACATTAAGTCCAGTCATGTCTGACTCTGGGGTGTGGTGCTTATCTCTATCTCTAAGCCAAAGAGCCCACATTGTCCATAGATACCTCCAAGGTCTTGTGGCCAGCATGATACCTCCAAGATCATGTGGCCGGCATTACCTTCCCGCCAGAGCGGTACCTATTGATCTACTCACATTTGCATGTTCTCCAACTACTAGGCTGGCAGAAGCTAGAGCTGACAGCGGAAGCTCACACTGCTCCTCGGAATAGAACCTGTGACCTTTCTGTCAACAAGCTCAGCAGCTCAGCAGCCACCGCACCACCGGGGGCTCCTACCTACCTGTCTTTTAATCTACCTACCTATCTATTTTTCTACCTATTCACCGACCTACCTATTTATCAATTTATTTATCAATGTACCTACCTGTCTTTTAATCTATCTTTCTACCTATCTATTTATCTATCAATTTATTTATCTACCTACCTAGCTAGCTCTTTTAATCTACCTACCTACCTTGCTTACTTAGGCGATCCCTCGTTGTACGAGTAAGATGGTCTTCCATCATGGGTTTCCCTGTGGGTCCGTATGTGGCTGTGGAGTCCTATTCTTGCTCTGCATCTTCTTCCGCAGTGAGGGCATTGGTTTCCAGGTGGAAGGCGGTCTCGGTTGGGGTTGGCTTGACACGCCTTCCTCCTGGCACGTTTCTCTCTTTCACCCTCCACTCGTGCCTCCTCGAGTTCTGCAGCACTGCTGGTCACAGCTGACCTCCAGCTGGAGCGGTCAAGGGCCAGGGCTTCCCAGTTCTCAGTGTCTATGCCAGAGTTTTTAAGGTTGGCTTTGAGCCCATCTTTAAATCTCTTTTCCCGTCCACCAACGTTCCGTTTTCCGTTCTTAAGTTCAGAGTAGAGCAACTACCTACCTACATACCTATTTATCTATCTACTTATCTACATACCTATTTATTTATCTAGCTATGTATTTGTCTATCTACTTATCTATCTATCTATCTTCTTTCTTTCTTTCTTTCTTTCTTTCTTTCTTTCTTTCTTTCTTTCTAGCTTGCTTGCTAGCTAGCTAGATTGGTAGATAAATAAATAGGTAGGTAGATAAGTAGATAGATAAAAAGATAGGTAGGTAGGTAGAGAGATAGGTAGATAGATAAATACATAGATTGGTAGACAGGTAGTTAAATAAATAGATAGGTAGATAGATAGGTAGATAAATAAACGGATAGATAAGTAGGTAGAAAGAAAGAAAGAAAGATAGATGGATGGATAACTAGATAGATAGACAGACAGACAGACAGACAGACAGGTAGAGAGATAGGTAGATAGATAAATACATAGATCGGTAGACAGGTAGTTAAATAAATAGATAGGTAGATAGATAGGTAGATAAATAAACAGATAGATAAGTAGGTAGAAAGATAGATAGATAGATAGATAGATAGATAGATAGATAGATAGATAGATAGATAGATAGATAGATGGATAACTAGATAGGTAGGTAGGTAGGTAGAGAGATAGGTAGATAGATAGATAGATAGATAGATAGATAGATAGATAGATAGATAGGTAGATAGATAAATAGATAAGTAGGTAGATAGATAAATCGATAGGTCTCTAGATAGGTAGATAAATAGGTAGGTAGGTAGATAAGTAAATAGGGAAATAGGTAGATAAGTAGATAGGTAGGTAAATAGATAGGTATGTCAGTCGGTAGCTAGATCGCAATATCTTTCGTGATCTCTATATGTCTATCTATCTCTGGGCTTTATTGGTACATAGGTAGGTAGAATCCTGGGAATTAGTTTCCCAAAACCTTATAGTTTCCCAAGAGCTGGGCACTTCACCCCCCAGGGTTCTATGACCTTATAGTGGTGCCAAACTGCCTCAATTTCTCGGGGGGGGGGGGGCGCACCTCAGC